AGAAAGAAAGAAAGAAAGAAAGAAAGAAAGAAAGAAAGAAAGAAAGAGAAAAAGAGAAAGAAAAAGAAAAAAGAAAAAGACAAAAAAGGCCCTTCACAGGCTTCCAATAACTTCTTCTACTAATACATTAACAGTGTTGAGAATGGTTGGGATTTATTAAAAAAAATATGTTGGGATTCAAAAAGTGAAGATCAGAAAAACAAACCAGCCACCACTACAGAGACCTTTTTTACCTCTACCAAATCTTCAGACCGAAAGGGCAAGATCCTCTCTCCAAATCCTCAGACTCCACACTCAGTGAGTCTCTTCCTCTTTATACTCCTCTCTCCACCCAGTCACGTCACTCCTGTCTGCACCTCCCTAGTGCTGGGATTAAAGATGTGTAGCTCCTGAACACACCTGGATCTGTTTCTGGATCGATCTTGTGTGGCCCAGAGTAGCCTTGAACTCACAAAGATCCTGGGATTAAAGGTGTGTGCCACCTCTCCCTCGCCTCTAGTAGCTTAGCTTTGTATTTTCATCTCTAGGCAAGCTTTATCTATTAAATACAATGAAACGTCACTGTAGGTACTTATCAAATACGTGTCGCGCTAGTTTTGCAAACTCGCTGCAGTTGTTACCGTACTCTGACACCGCTTTGTCTCCGCCTTCCGCACACAGTGCATTTGGTGCCGAGAAGAAGGAGTCTGCAAAAAGTACTGTTTCCCATATTCCGACTGCAAATTCAACTCCATATTCTGGGCGAACTGTAGAGGTAAGTGGTCCTCATTTCAATTTTTGTGACTTCATTGCGTCTGACTTGCAAATAGTAGAGATTTTCCGCATTCGAGGGATTCACAATGATCGCATTTGCATTAGTCAAGTTCTCTGGTCCAGGGCTGTTCTTCAGGGCTGCCCTGGTTGTTCCGGGTGGAACTGATTCAAAGTGAGTCAGATGGGACCCTGGCTGTAATACTCGACAGTTTAGATTTCATTTGTAAAAATCTCTGTTCTAGGATGTTCATAACCTAGTTAACGGATGTTTGTGTTGTGATGTTGTAGAAACTCTTGACTATGTGTGTGTGAGTGTGTGGTGCGCACGTGTGATTGTATGTATGTGTTTGTACGTACATATGTACATGTTAGTACTGAAATGCAGATGTTCTGAGCCAAGTGGTTTTACTGTAACATACTTCCTCAGCGAATGGAGTCTGTATTGAGAATTACCATTAAGAATGGTGACTCCTTAAGATAGCAGATCTCATTTACCAAAAAGAATCTTTTTATTTGTAATGTCAAATTTGGACATGCTATATGGTAGTTACCAAAGCAGGCAAAAAAAAGTACTAATATTTTTCAATGAAATTTCTAGAAAAGCTAAAACAGGTGATTTTCCAAGTGAGCACGACTCTGGTGAGAAAAACCCATCTATCAGTGAGTCGTCTGCTATTTTTCTTAACTGAAGTGAAAATATATAATTCTGCCGAAATCTCTGCTTTGCTTCAGATTCTGCAGGCCTTTTAAATCGTCTGTATTTGGACCTTGTAAAGAAAACCACTTTGCATTCACTAGGAACAGAAGCTCTGGTCCCCTATCTTGTGTTTTCCCTTCTAGCTCATTTCTCCGCATCCCAGGCTAATAAGTTGTGTGGTCTGAAGGAGGGGAAAGGTCACCAGATTCCCAGCCAGTGTGGGCTGTCTCTGATAGCAGAACCCTGGTACCTAGACAGCAGGCCACCCCCTGGTGTCTACAGGCACCTTCACAGTAGTGGCAGTCCCTGTTGAGAAAGTACCAGAAATGAAACAGAGGCCAAATACAGGGGAAATGGTGCAATAGGCTGCTAAGCTCCTTCTACAATGCGGGTTTTCAGCAGTGACCGCCGTATCAGTGGTGACCTTAGAACACGCAGCGCATGCTCTTGTAGCCTCATTCCAACAGAGCTCTGAGAATGTATGTCTAAGAATTCAGATTGCATGATACTAGAAGAGTTAAAAACATAAGACTTTTTTGATCTGTTATTAAAATATGTCTCTTTTCATCAATTTCAGTTGACCTGTTTGGAATCATGATGCTGATACTGGTTACTTTATTAGCAGTAGGATTCCTGTGGTATTGCCTCGCCTACAACTTATACTTGCAGGAGTATGTCATTTCACTCTTCCTAAGAGCCCACTTGGGAATGGTAGCACTGAAAACAAAAAACTAACTTAGTTAACAGGAAGTGTTTAGCTAAATGCGTAATGAAAATACTGAAAGGTACATACACTGTTATAAGATAAAAAGAAAGATTAACCAAGTTTCCTGTCCCACCTCCACCTCCAGCATGCCCCTGCTGAAGCCAGCATGCCTCTGCTGAGGCCAGCATGCCCCTGCTGAAGCCAGCATGCCCCTGCTGAGGCCAGCATGCCCCTGCTGAGGCCAGCATGCCCCTGCTGAGGCCAGCATGCCCCTGCTGAAGCCATCCTGCAGTTTGGCTGCTTGTGGTCCTGCTGATTACCTCCATGTCGCTGAATTAGATGGTTGAATGTTTCACACTGCACTGATGTCACACACTATTACACTTAGTGCCCCATCTGGAACACTGAAGATTTCATCTTGTGCTGTCCCGATAATCGTTGTTATTATTTTGCTATTTTATGTGCTATTTTGAGATGTTTAGCCATTTTTCATTGTTTTTAGTAACCTAAAGGTTACTAGTATTTATATATTGCTTATCTTTTGGAATTTACTTAGTCCATTTAATCCTCTGTTTTTATATTAAGATAAGAAAATTTTATATTAAGATAAGAAAATTTGACGGCCAGGAGTGGTAATGTTCTCCTTTAATCTTTTATTGTTGTTTCTCAAGGAAGAGTTTAGTTTTTCTGTATCCCTGGCTGTCCTGGAACTAGCTCTGTAGACCAGGCTGGCCTCTACCTCCCAAATGCTGGGATTAGAAGTGTGCGCTACTGTGTCCCGCAAGCTCTCCTTTAATCTTAGTACTGAGGAAGACAGGCAGCGCTTCTCTGAATTTGAATCCAGCCCGGCCTGCATTGTCAGACCTTGTCTTGAAAACATTTTGGATTCTCCATATTCCTTATCGTTTATCCTCTCTTCCCTTGAGCCCCCGGTTCTGTAAGCTTTCACACTCGTTTGACTTTATGTAGAAGTTACTTTCCATTTCGCGACTGTAATTCCACCTCAGAACGCTCACATTTCAAGTCTGAAATTTTTAACTATTCAAGAGACAGGTTAATTCACACACGAGTGAGTAAACATAGCGTGCAAACGCAAAATGGAAGAGCAAGGACAGTTCTACACCACTAATCCACATGGCTTGAGGGAGAAGCATTGATGTCCAAGCCGATGGAATTCTCTTTCTTAAATTTTCGTTCTTAAAATTACACTCCATCGTAAAACCACACCTTGTTTCATATATGTTCTGTATCTTTCTTAGTTTGCCCTGTTTTTCTAGGAGTTTTACTTTTTTCCTGTGGAGTTTTAAGATAGCTTCACTATTTCCTGTCACTCAAACATGAAGCCAGGCCTGGTGCCAACACGCCTTTGATCCTGGCACTCGGGAGGCGCAGGTGAATTAGTGTTTAGGGTCGGCCTGATCTACAGAGCAAGCTCCAGGATAGCCAGGACTATAGAGAGAGACCCTATCTCAAGAAACTAACCAACAAACAAAAAAGTATCTCTATTCTAATAATAATAATATTAATTATAATAATAATCATTTATCTTTATATTTGACAAAATATTTTTCCTATAGTTATTCTTTTGAAACTCTTCTGAGTGAGTTTTTAATTAAGTTGGCATACACAATAATAATTTTCCTATGACATTTTTCTTAAGTATATGTTATTATACTTTGACCTTACTCTCCCCGCCCCCACTGTCTTCCTCTATTTCCCCTACTTGGTTCTTTCTCCCCTTCACCAATCCATCCAATAGGCCTCCACTGTGTTTGCAAGAACATTCTGTTCTAATTCACAAAAATTAGTTTCTTTTCACAACTAAAGTAGAATATTTTGGTTCCCTGTCTTCCCCTGTTTTGAGTCTTTTCCTTTTGTTTCTTCTCCTGGAGAATAGAGTGTCTTTTTCCAAAGTAGCTTTGCAGAGTTGGAAAATATTCACACAGTTCATAGTTCCTTCCCAATTTCTCTTTCTCCATTCTTTTAGAACTAGTCATGTTTTTTGTCAGATTATATGCCTTTAAAATAAGACAGGAAGATAAGACAGGTAGAAACAACTAAAAATAGATGCATACAAGTAGGCTTATCTGCATGTGAAGCGATTTGTGTGTCTAGAAAACTATATATAATATATAAAAAAGGTTGTCCAAAATGTAGTTTGTTTGTTCAGCACCTCTATTTTGTCCAGGAAATTATATTTTCCTGATATCAGGGTTTGTGTCCTTCCCTTATTAACATATAACACTTTGTCAGTATAAGACAAAATAAGATGGCCATATCCTTTTCCTCTCAAAAGCAAAAGTATAATTGTGCGGAGAACTCATGGGATACAGTACATGCGTGGCAAGAGGCCCTTTTTTGTATTTTCTTTAAAAGACTATGGTGTATTGTATCATTACTTTTTGTGTAGCACTTATGAGTTACGGATGACGTGCACAGGAGAAGACGCCATAGCAAGCGCCCATCGCTGAAGTGTCTTTTATTTCCATTTTAAAAAATGATTTGGAAATACGATATAACAACTGATTTGGTTCTGGTTTAACTTTGCTGTCCATCTCCATATTAAATTTGTTTTACAGACATTCTCTACCTTTGCTAATTGAGTGGGCAGAGCATTCATGAGAGAGAGTATTCTATAAAGAAGAAGTTGTTCTTGAGAATCCAGTCAAGCCAGCTGGAATCTAGAGGCGAGGTGGCTCAGCAGCAGAGCACTTGCTAGCTTGCAGAGGGCCCCGGGTTCAAGTCACAGCACTGAACAGAGGTTCTAACAGAAACACCAGTCTTTACCTCAAAAAGCACTTTCCCGGGCTGTGGTGGCACATGCCCTTAATCTCATCATTTAGGAGGCAGAGTCAGGCTGATCTCAGTAAGTTTGAGGCCAACCTGGTCTACAAAGCGAGTTCCAGGACAGTTAGGACTGTTACACAGAGAAACCCTGTCTTGAATTTAAAAAAAAAAAAACATGCTGTGTGATGGTGGCACACGCCTTTAATCCCAGCACTCGGGTGGCAGAGACAGGTGCATCTCTGTGAGTTCAAGGCCAGCTTGGTTTACAAAGCAAGTTCCAGGAAAGGCTCCAAAGCTACAGAAAAACCCTGTCTCAAAAAATCAAGCAACAACAAAAAATTAAAGCACTTTAAAAGTTTTAAATGTTAATAACACATAGATATTTGAAATACTCATTTTCTCAAATGCTCGTTCTTTATCAAAGTAGTTATTACCTGATATGCACTAAGTACCCATGTCACTAGAGATATTGTGAGGGAAAGACCAATACTTTGCCTTCATGTGGGACAGAGAGGAGTAAATAAGTTATTGTTGGTTTTATTGTTAATTAATTTTTATGTGATATTCCATTTAATTCAGTTGTATTTTTCTTAAAATGCACTGGGGTTTTCCTGATGAGTAGATAAGAGAATATTTCACATTAAGAAAGCAACTCTAACTATACTCTATACCATGAATTAAGATAATTTCAACTGTAACCAATCTTAAACTTTAAATTCACCACCATTTTGAACAGGCGGCAGGCCTTTTATTATGCAAGAAATAGACCAGTTCCTGGTTACAACGACTGGAACGCTACCGGCAAGTACTTTCTTCCATTTGCTAGGCTACCCCAGACATTTTTAGCAGCTGACAGCCAGAAGTCAAGCTCTTACTGTGGGAAACGGGACAGCAGCGGTCATTATCCTCATTTTGAAAAACACGTTAATAATTCAATAGTTAGACTAGGATTTGCAAAATAGTAACAGAAATGATAATCGGAGTACTGGCAGGGGAGTGTTAAAAATTTTAAACTATTTGGGGATTTAATTACTTCCCCTTTTCCCTTCTTTACCACTTAACTAAGGAAACCGAAGGAGACCTTTGTCTTTAGGAATTCTTGTGGATTTCCGTCTTCCTCTCACCCAGTCCTCCAGGTTACCCAATGTGCAACTCTTTTCTGGGTTCTTCCAACTTCCCTTAGCTCCTCCCTCACTGTGGCTTCCTCTGGCTGGTCACCTTCATTTACACAAGGCAGAGAATAAACAGGCTTCAGGTCTGAGGAGTAGGAAAACATGGAGTTTATACAATGTTATTTAACAAAGGTGGTGGGAGAAAGAGCAGTCCTGGCCCACACTGAGTTCTTAGAAAATGTATCTGGATGATTTCCTGGCTTAGGGAGTCACTGATCGCCCTTGATTGTCTGTCACTGAGGACAAGGAGTCTGGTGGTTTCCACAAACATTTGGCCTTTTGCTCTTTGTCAAATTCCCACCCAGGCTATTGCTACCTTATGTTCCTTGACTCCTAAACATTCAATAGCAGTAGTATTAAGATCACAGTAGTGTATTTATGGCATCCACGGACATTTTATGGTTGATGTATTTAAAGATTAAAACTTTAATGCTGTTGCTGGATTTTGTTAAAGGTCTTTGAGAAGGTAAATTTATTTTCTTTTCCATAGCATTTTATGAATAAATAACTGAAAAGACAGCTCTTTTGGAGAGAGAAGGTGAACATTCTTCAATGGTAAGCCTCTTAGAAATACTGCAGAGAATTTCTTTACCCCGACCCATTTGTAGGAAACAGCTTTTCAGGAATACATCATTAGAATTATTGAGAAAGAAGCACTGAATCTGTAAATTCCATAGACAAATTTCAATCCCCGAATTGAAGGGCATTAACTCCGAAGACAAGGGAAGATGGAGTTGTGCGAGTCTCTTTTTATATTTGTTGGTAAATTTAAAGGAAAGACAATAAACTCTACTGAGGAAAAACAAAGCACTGATCTAGTAATGGCGGAAGCAGGATTGGAAGCAGGAGGAAGTAGCGAGGTAGAGAGTCCAGGTCCAGGGCAACAGGAAAACAGAAGGAGAGCTGCAAGCAAACAACCATGTGGGGTGCCGCTCCCTGAAAGAGGCCCAAAGGCCTGCTGGATTTCAGCAGAGGTGTTGGCAAGAGTCCCACTTGTAAGGGGCAGGCAGAAACAGTCTTGGGCAGAGGGAAGAGTCGAACTGACATAGAGACGCCTGAGAGAGAGCACAGCACACTGTAGAAGGAGCTCTGGGACCAGCCAGGCCTTCGGGGACTGAGCCATGGAGAGACAGCAGTGTCAGACATTAGATACAGGATGAAAGACACAAATGAGGTCAGTCTGCAAAAGGGACCTGGCGTCTGGAAGAATGAATGCCTTGTCCATGGAGAAGGAAGACACAGGAGTGATGTGCCGCGGTCTGCACCACAGCAGCTGGCATTGGTCAGTGTCCTCAACCTCTAGGTCGCTACCCCTTTCCAGGGTGGCCAAGGACCATCAGAAAACACAGATATTTACATTACGATTCATAGCAGTAGCAAAATTACAGTTATGAAGTAGCAACTAAAATAATATTGTGGTTGGGGGTCACCACCACGTAAGGAACTGTATTCAAGGGTCACAGCATTAGGAAGGGCGAAGACCGCTGGTCTAGGGAATGTGGCATTAGGACGATAATTCTGGGTGATGGTAGTGCTTTGGTGCCATCCAGTAAGGCATACTCTTCCTTCCCCCTTTTACTATTTCCTTTAAAACTTTGGTGTGCTGACTAGTTTATATCAGCTTGGCACAAGCTAGAGTCACTGGAGAGGAGGGACTCTCAGTTGAGAAAATGCCCCCATAAGATCTATTTTCTTAATTGGTGATTATTGATGGGGGAGGGCCCAGTGCATTGTGAGTGGGTCACCCTGGGCTGGTGGCTGAGCAAGCCAAGGGGCGCAAGCCAGTGAGCAGTACTCCTCCATTACTAAGCGCGTGCCTCCAGGTTCCTGCCCTGCTTGAGTTCTTGTCCAGACTTCCTTCAACCATGAACAGGGCTGTGGAAGTGTAAGCCAAATAAACCCTTTCCTCCCAAGTTGCTTTGGTCATGGTGTTTCCGCACAGTGTCGAAACCCTAGCTAAGACACTAAGTAAGCTTTAAATTTCTTCCAATTGTGTGGGTTTTTTTTTGTCATTATTGAGTTGATTTTTCTTTGAATTGATTCCATGCAAAAACTGGGCCACATTTGACCATTTTAATATTCAAGTTTAATAAATTTTAGAATGGAGGTAATTGTGATAATTACTGAAAGGTAAATATCCACCAATATAAGATGGGAGATTTACCAGGAAGCAAATATATTCAACTGGGATGTTTTGGGAAAAGATGGAAAGCAAAGATGATGGCTCAGAATGGAGAACAGACGATGGAGCCCAGAAGGTACAGTCTTCACCTAGAAAAATAAGAGAGAATTGGCAAACTTTGCATCAGCCTTTGGGAGCTTTCTGATCCTAACACGTCTGCATCGCTCTCGTAGTGAGAAAGCGCCCACACACAATTCAGAGATGAAGATACACGTCTGTGCTCCAACCAAGTGCATGCTTTTGGTGCATGAGCCTTGATTTGTGGACACATTGTTCAGATGATCAAAATGATCATTTAAATGTAATCTTATAACAATATTTTCACTTAAAAGTAGAATTAAAGAGAAACTTGTCCAGTCCTTGGCTGTCTGTAGATAAACGGATGCTATGAAATTATGCACTAAGTATGCCTGAGCCTACTGAACAAATGGTGATTGGAAATCATGAAGAGAGGCCCAAGCTATTGTTTTCCCTGGTAGTTGGTACCAGTTAAAGACACGGGGGTGAGTGGCAGAATGACGACAGCTTCGCTAACAGGGCTCTGTGTATTCGATTATTATTGTCTGAAATGCTAGCGTTATGGTTTGCCCCTCACTCACCAGCGTTCCTCCTCCATGTGGATGTTAATGACCCATTCACAATGCATCGCAGGCTGGCTCTACTCACTAGGGAGCTCTAGAAACTAGCAGTGTCATAACCAGCAGTGCGACTTTTGGAGTAATTTATTTGGAATTCTTTTGTATACACACACACACACAATCTTAAAAAGCAGTAGAACTTATCTAATCAAGTAATAGACACTGGCAAACTGAATAGCAGTTTTGTTCAAGTCATGTCAGGTAAAATGGTGTATATTTTAAGGACTTTTTCATTGCCTCGGTAGCTCCTTATATGTCAGTTAGGTAATATTAACATATTACCATACTCATGTTCGTTAAAACTTTCCCCAGTTTTTCACTTTTCTGAAATTATATTCTTTTTTTAAAATATATTTATTTATTATGTATACAATATTCTGTGTATGCCTGCAGGCCAGAAGAGGGCACCAGACCTCATTACAGATGGTTGTGAGCCACCATGTGGTTGCCGGGAATTGAACTCAGGACCTTTAGACGAGCAGGTGGTGCTCTTAACCCCTGAGCCATCTCTCCAGCCCCCCTGAAATTATATTCTTATACTAAATTAAAACCTGGTGGTTAGTCATGGGTCTGATTGCCATGACTAGAAAAGACAGATGTTATCCTTATATAAAGAGAGCTATTCTATGGACCTGTAGCCTGCAGATGGATGCTCCAATGTTACAGAAGAATTTTGGGTGGCTGTTCAGGCAGCAAGATGTCTCTGTAAATTCAGAAGTTGTTTACAATGCAGTTCCTGTTTACTTAGGTAATATTATATCCTTCTGGGGTCTTTGATGTAGTTGAAGAGTAGATAATTATAATTATAATTTCCTTAGCTAAAATAAAAGATAAATTATATATAAAATTTCAGACTTACAAAGGTAGATGTATGATTGTGTATTTTCTCTGAATTTGTCAAATGCAAATGGACTAGACATTATTGATCTATTGCATAAACTTTTTATTATCTTAATTATAGCCTTCTTTTATATTTTAGACAACAAGGGAAATGTAGTAGTATTTCATTTGTATTTTAATAAAGCTTGCCTGGAAATTAGAAAAAAAAAAACCCTGGTGGTTAGTTCTGTCTCTGTACCATTCTTTCTTCCCTCTGTTCTTTGTGAATAATGTTTAGTTCAAAATTCCTTTGGGGGATCAGACTGGTGCCTACTTATTTCTGTGGGTTGCATTTTGTCCTGACTCTTCCAAGCCATCTGAATACAATAGAGTGTAAAATAAAACTTAATGATCTAATGAAGTTAATAATGATACACATTAACTACAAATCCCTCATATGTTCTTGATCAATTGTTTATATAATAACTTATTTATATAAACATTAATGATAGACTTATTTTCATGTAAAAATCCGTTCAAATTCTTTTCTTTTTTGAAAGAGATGCATATTTTGGATTTATTTTTATTTATTTATATATTTAGTGTGTGTGTGTGTGTGTGTGTGTGTGTGTGTGTGTGTGTGCTGGTGTTGGAAACCACTTGTTTCTCTGCAAGAGCAATAAGCATTCTTAACCTCTGAGCCATCTCTCCAGGCCCGCATCAAATTCTTGTGAGAAGCAGCAACTGGCCACATTATTTATATTGAAATAATTAAAATCACTTCTTATTTTATTCCATATAAAGACCAAAGTTAATAAAATATTAGATAGGAAAAAAATTTTATATAAATGTAAATATTAGTCTTGTAGAAACAGCTCTTAAGTGAATGAAATAAAATTACATAGGCAGAATTTATAAATATGAAGGAATGGCTTTTTTCCAAGTGACAAGCGCTGTCTGAGGGAGGAGTGAGGGGTGGATGGTGCAGCTCTAGAATCAGGTTTCTAAGTGTTACATGGAATTTACTAATTCTGAGACATCTAAGGCAATTGTTCCAATTGCTGGATCTTGAATTCTTACCTGCAGGGAAGGTAGAAGAACAACTTTGCTAGGAAAGTGGGGAGTAACATTAAAGAAAACAGCTCTTGACTGTAACTCACAAGCAGTAGAGTGGCTCTGGTCAGGAGCCAGGCACAGAACTAACTACGTGAAATAGAAGGACATAGTCTGAGCTGGAAAGAACTCAGGTTATCTTCACTTCAGTTAGTTTTTTTTTTCTTCTCTGTTTTTAGGAGAATTTAGCACACTATTGAATTCTCCCTGAATTAGAGGAGAAAATGTTGAGAAAGTTGTCTGAGAAATGAATACTATAAGTAAACTACTGTTTGGAACTGATACGTTGGGTACTCTATAAATGACGCTATTTTAGCTCTGTGAGTCTGTTATGCCACTGTAATTCTGTGAGAACATTTAGAAGAAACATTAAAAGACACATTAAATCCTTCAAGGAACATAAAACTTTAAGACAAGCTTATACAATACCAACTGCATTCTGGTAAAGTTCCATGACGAGGTTTATAGGTGCCCAAGGGTTAAGTTACAGGGTAGAGAATGTATACCTGTGGGGCTGCGTAGGGCTTAGAGCAGATAAACATGGCATCCCAGCTAATTCGGACAGAGATGGGCGTGGCTCAGGGATCTGCTTTTAGATGCCTACCTCTCAGGCAGAAAGGACACCTCAGCCCGTACCCGTGGGCACGGGGCCTGCTCATTGCCACGCACATTGCTTCCGGGACCTGAGCTGTCGTTCATGGTACTGAACCTTGAGAAAGGCACTTGGTCCTGATCCGCAATAAACCTCGAAATCTATACCTAGGGACTTAGGCATTGTTTCATAGCTGATGACCATACACAATCTTGAATGTGAAGGAATGTAAAGTTTCAATGGGTAAGAGGAAGCAACCACATTTTAAGTGAATGTACTTTGATGGTGTTACTGAAAGGCTAGGGGTTTTAGGTTGTGAGTAAAGAAGAAGGGTTGAGGCAGAAAGAATAATTAGAAGGAGCCTGCCAGACATTAAAATGAGCACCAGAGAAAGCCCAAATCAGGGTGTGAATAAGAAATAAAGCCCAAATAAGAAAGATGTGATTACGTTTGAGGTCAGAAGAGGCAAGGCCGCTGATCAGTCATGGAGTACCCCGGGTTGAAGGGAGCTATGGAGAAACGCTTCTAGCTTGCCTGCCCGAAGATAAGGATGCTGTGGGTACGGAGAAAAGTCAGGGAAGATGAGGACGTTTCCATGAAAAAAAAATGAATTTTCTGAATTGTCCCCAGGTTTATTAAAAATACTACAGGGGGCTGGAAAGATGGCTCAGGGGTTAAGAGCACCGCCTGCTCGTCTAAAGGTCCTGAGTTCAATTTCCAGAAACCACATGGTGTCTTATAAACATCTGTAATGAGATCTGGTGCCCTCTTCTGGCCTGCAGGCATGAATGTAGGCAGAATACTGTGTACGTAATAAATAAATCTTTAAAAGAAATAAATAAAAATACTACATGGCTGATTCAAAAGGCTGCAGTTGGTGGTTTGAAATCCATCCCAGCTGTAGGATGAGTGACATGTAGGTTGTAGAGACTGTTAATCCAGAGGCCTCAGCCTTTCCTCGGCTGCGTCCAGGTCTACCTCAGGGAGCTGAACTGGGACTGAGACCTCAGGGACATAATTACCTCTCCTCTTTCCTCTTCCTGCAACTTGAAAGCAATGCAGATCTTCCCGGTCTGCTTCCTCAGTCGTGACCGGCGCCCCCACCCCCCACCCCCGTACTCCTTCTGGATGGTGACCCAAACTTTTTTCTTCACATCCCTCGCCCGTGTTGGCGGTCCCGGTGAAAAACACAAAACAATGAAATTCTTACGTTGAAGTTGTGGTAACAGAACGAAGGGCAAATAAGAGCTCCAATGAGGAGCTAGAGTGGTGGGGCTGGAACGGGTGATGTTTGGTCTGTGGCCATGCGTGAAGCCCTGGATAGGGGTGGGAATGCTTGCGGACTGCAGAGATAATAGAGAATGGGAGAGCATGGTTCAGGGTCCCCAATCTACAAGCGCAGAGAGAGGCTGTGGAGTTCTCTGAGGGCCTGGGAGCGGGGATCTTAGAGTGAGCACAGTGCTGACGAGCAGGGAGTGGACGGCACGGGCGAAAGCTGTTGATACACACTTTTCTATAAACTACAATAATGCTTTCAAACTATTAGTGTTTCAAGCTACTAAGAAGCACTTTGCCAAATAATAGGTTCTACGGCAGCTGAAAACAGACTGTAGTTTCTCCCGGAGTGTCTTGAGTTACAGGATACATTCTGTGTACCAAGAGAATGGTCAGTCATACACAATAAATGTTTTATCTTAAAAGACATTGGTTACGTGAAGCATCGGGCAGACAGTAAGGGATTCTAAGCAATGCCTAGGCTCTATGGGAAAGAATATTGTGATCTGGCATCTTCTGCCCAGGGGTGGTGAAAAGGGCAACCCTCCACCAAATCACGCCCCCTCCACTCTTTGATGCTTCCCAAGGCACTGTTAGCTCTCCACAGTTGGATGATTACTAGAGAGAGGGAGAGGTGGGGACAGACAGTGACCCAGGGAGTCAGGGGGAGAACAGCAGACAAGTCTCCCTAATTTCGCAGCAGCGAAGTTTTCCAGGGCTCATTTCCCATAAACAGGGTGATGGCAAAGCTTCCTAAAGTATCGGGAAAACGGTTGTGTCTGGCTGGGTAAACACAGGAAAATTGTGTACACTGAGGTCTTTTTCGAAGCTCTCTCTCTCTCTCTCTCTCTCTCTCTCTCCTCTCTCTGCGTAGCTTTAGATATTTCAGACGTGAGGGAAATACTCTATGGGAAGATGGTAGGGATGTGGAAGGAGAATTAAGGTAATTGCTTCCTACTGAAAGAGGAGAAGTGTTCCTTCAGCTCAATTTTCATTACAATCAACCACAGGCAGGGGCCAGAGAAGGCGAAAGCAGAGTTAGAGGATTTGCTGAGTGGATAGGTTCAGAAGGAGATGTTATAAATAAGTATGTGCAGCTTTTATTTTTTATTTTATTTTCATCTATCATGGAACTGTACCTGTTTTAGTATCGCTGTTCCCTTGCCTGTGAGATCGGGATCAGGATAGTTCCATGTCCACACGGTTGAGGTGGTAGTCTGGTAACACACGAAGCACTGATAACTACCGTGCACACCAGAGGCTCAGAGCACACAATACCGTGACCCTGCACCTCACAGACCCTGCCCTGGAGGCTCTGCATAGCGATTGGATTGACAATGAGAAAACTGAGTAGATAGAGAGTCTCTTTTGCTGTGGAATTGATAAGATTAAAGGGAGCTGGAGTGGGCTAGATCAGAGTGGGAGGGAACTGATTGAATATTTTATTGATTTTTTTTCTGTATGGCTGGCACTGGGAATACAACTTAGACAAGACAGGCAGAACTCTCTACCGTAGGAAGCAGATATTTTCTAGCGTGGCTACGAAAAGAGTAAGGTGCAAAGAAAATTACCTGAAAACTGAGGCACCACTGGAAGATGAACAGGGACAGGAACCAGGGACTCCGGGAAGGTGGCCTGGTTGGGAAAAGTAGAAAGGCATACCTGAAGGGGTGGGGCTTAATCAAAGCCCAAAATACCACACACCTTGTGTTTCCTCACAGGTACAGAGTCTAGACTTTTAGAAAGGTATCAGAGTAGAAATGGGACTTCTTGGGGAGTGATGGGAGAGGGGAGAGGACTAAGGATGGGGAAATGTGATCAAAGGGTGTTGGATATGTGTATGGAAAAATCTCATAACTAAATGTTTTGTTATGTATAAACAATAAAAATGCCCCTAACTATGATATGAGAGTCATCCAGGAGGGGAGTTGGGAAGGGTGTAACAGACAATGTGGTTCTCAAGAGAGGATGCCTAGAGGGTGTGTCTGTCCCCCCAGACAGACAGTCATCTGAAGGTATTGGGGTTCACAGGTTCTCCATCTGGATTACCTTGCCCAGTCTTGTTCCTGCCTCAACTTGATGAGCCAGGCTTTGTTCAAGTCCTCGGGAGGCCTGCTCCTTGCTGAGTGGAGACTGAGCGTGGTGGATGGGAAAGGGGGTAGATGGGAGGCGGGAAGGGGGAAGTGAAGGGGGGAAGTAAAGTGGAGGCAACTGGAGGGGAGGAGGGAAGGGAAAATGTGGCCAGTATATAAAATAAATGAAAAAGCATTAATTAAATAATAATAATAAACAAACGTTGCCCTACACATAACAGGGGGAGTGATTTTTTCTTTCAGCTGGGCTTGCTCTGAGGACTATTTGGAAGCAGACATTTCAGGTGGAAAAGGAAAGTTATGAGTTGTGGTTTAGAGCAGTGTCAGGGAGCTGAGGAATGGGTTGTTGAGGCTGAGGAGCTGCACCGGGAACGGGAGACCCTGTTGTGCTCAGTGGCGGCCATGGCTGCTTCACTGTTGCCTGCCCATTCCTGAATTTTCTCATCGCATCCACTCTGAGTACAAGGGTTCTCTTCTGCCACGTTCAGCTTTATTCCAGAATCTTTCTAGTGGGTGTGCACTCAGACTTCAGCGCGGGCTTGGGAAACGCCATCCTCACGATCGCTCAGCTTGTTCCCTTTCCTGTCAGTAGAAGGAAAACAAATCATTTATGTTCACTTGGGTAGTTGTAGAACCTTCCATTCTCAATTCACTCCAGGGTGAAGGACTAATTTGAGTTTATAATCATTGTGGCCATTTACAAGGTTTTCAAGTAACGCCCTCTGGTTTGGAAAATATTGCCTTTTACAAACACTACAAGTGATGTGTTGCCTTGAACTTTTAAGACTTGTAGTCAGAACATGCAGCGTAAGAGTTAACATCCAGTAATTATCATATCCTCTTTCTTTCAGGCTTCCATTGGGATTTTATTGATGTCTACGGACTCTTTGAGATTGATTGAACATCAAAATTCCTTTAAATTAAAAGTTTTTAATTCTATTGAACATTTTGGTAGAGTATTTTATTACTTAGACTTGTCTACTAATTTGAGGTTGTAGGGGTTGAAAAAGATTTTGTTATTAGTTAAGATTTGGGTTTTCTTTTTCATTTGTTTTTAAATTTCAAGTAATATTCATCTTAACTAGTTTGATAATCTTTCTACTCTTGCTTTTGGACACAAAGTGTTATAGATATTACATATTGATGCATTTGACACATCAATTTCCATACTCAGCTTTATTGGCTTACCTTGTGATCATGTCAGATACTGTTTTCCCATTGTGTCGATGACAATAAATACTTTATTCCTAATTTTGTTCACATTCATTTTTATAAAAGATCTCTATTATTCAAAGTTTCCCTCCAGTATTAAATTTGAAATGATTAATATTATTAGAATTTGATAAAATTTTGATCAAATCAATGATAGGTTTAAAAAACATGTACATATTTCTTTTTCCAAAATACAAAATATGAAGGTTCTTACAGTTCAGCATATTAGGTGATTTTAACATAATAAAAACAAACCACATTAGTGTCAATGCTAAATAGTCTCTTCATTAACATTTGATAATAATCAGTTAAATCTATTCACAATTGTTTTATGAAATGTTCCCCATTGGCTGGTGATGTATTAGCTCTGGTAGTATTTGACATGATGGTTTCCAGGAAATGCACTGAGTTTTGTGAAGTAACAGTTGAAGGAGCAAGTTCCCTGAATCCCTCTGGGCAGAGAACCTGAGATGCAGCTGACCACAAGGCACATCCCTTTCATCTGCATGGCCACCCACCTTTTGTCATTGTGTTGGCTGGAGCCTCCCGGATCCCAGCTGGGCAGTGAGTCCCTCAAAGAACACAGCTGTGCCCATGACCTACTGTTAGTCATGGAGGCCCTGTTTCTACCCAAAGCTCGCACTGAACCGTACTCTTGTGTCTAGAGAAGCTGCTTCAGAAGGTCCTCTTTTTTTTTCTCAGGGCCTTCCTCTTGGCAGATAGACGCTGACACCGACCATGTTGTCAGCAAAAGTGCAAGGTCGCAATGATATGGACATAACTGGGGAGAGTGTAGCTTCCAGTCTTCACAGCACCCACACACTCATACCCTGATAGCCAACATTCTGCTGCCAAAATTTCCAAGGCCCCCCGTGACAGTTTGTCCTTTGGGCCCTGGATGCCTGTGACAAGAAGAGCAAATCCGTGACTGAAAGCAACAACTTTTCTTGTGGTTTTCAAAATTTCCACTTGTTAGGCAAAATGTGCAAAGATTTAAAATTTTTTCTGCTAACAATGTTGCTTCAATATAAAACCTCATAGTCTTCAGTTGAACTCCAGGATCAAGAGAATGCAGCATCAAGAATTGAAAAATTATCTACTGTAGTAAATGGTTAAATGAAGCTTTATTCTGTATATATTTAAGTTTTTATCCGACATGACAAAGCTAGACTTTTTAAGCTAGGGAAACCTGGATATGTGCGTGTGAAGCAGGACGTGTCTTGCACTGGATGAAAACTGATCTTTTTATCATGCCTCATTCTTTTAGCAATTTTTTTTCCTTTTTCCTTTTTTGCTTCTTTGGTTGGTTTTTGTTTGTTTGTTTGTTTGTTTTGAGACAGGTTTTTCTAAGTAGCCCTGGCTGTCCTGGAACTCACTGCGTAGACCAGACTGGTCTCGAATTCACAGAGATCCACCTGTCTCTGCCTCCCAGGGGCTGGGATTAAAGGTGCGTGCCTCCAGCCTGGCTTTACTAGCTTTCTTTTGCATCAACTTTCTGTTGCTGTCTCAAGTTACCTCACATACAAACTGCCATAAATGTAGAAAAGGTTTATTTTAGTGCACAGTTTGAGGTCATTAGCCAATGGTCACTTGACTCCTTTGCTTTTGGGACATCAAGGTGGGAGTTTGTGTCCGAGGGAAGCTGCTCACATCCCACTGGATAAGGTGCGATGCCCCAATAGCTCAGAAGATACTTCTCCAGAGACCTATAAAGTCCACTTTCTGCAGATTCCACCTCCTCCCAGTTACTATACAGTCTGGTGACCCCCACCTTTTAACAACTAATGTCTGGAGCTGGTTGTTTTTAACTCTTGCTCTTTGGGGGCCTGCCACCTAGCTCCCGATAAATACACGGAGACTTATTCTTACCCGGGCTTAGCTTGGCTTGTTTCTAGCCAGCTTTTCTTAAATTACCCTCGGGTATTTTGCCTTTCTCTCTTTCTGAATGTCTCTTCTTTCCCTCTTACTCCATGTCTGGCTGTGTGACTGGGTGACTGGCCCCTCGCATCTTCCTTATCTCCCTCTTTCCTCTTCTCTTTTTTTCCTTCTATTTATTCTTTTTGCCTGGCAGCCCCACCTATCCCCTCTCCTAACTAGCTATTGGCCATTCAACTCTTTATTAGGCCAGTCAGGTATTGTAGATAGGCAGAGAGTCAAAGCTTCACAGAGTTAAATAAAAGCAACATAAAAGAATACAACACATCTTTGCATCATTAAACAAATATTCTCCAGCATAAAAGGAATGTCACACATCTTTGACTAATATTCCACAACAAGTGCCGCTGGGAAATATTCAAGATCCAAATTATAGTGCTCACAGGAAGAAACTTGAACATTAGTTGATGGACTGAAACAGTCATTTGGAAATTAGTAATCTTGTTTGTTCAACCAGAATCCTGAGACTTTCTTTGTCCTTTTGAGGAAGAAGCCATCTAGTCAGCTGAGGCCGTTTCTCTATTGCCTCATTTTCTCAGATTTGAGTCATGTTCTGGTGTCTGAAGTCACAGAGTGAGTCCCAGACCCCACCAGCAGAGAAGAATGTTATAGGGTTCTTGTTTAGTCTTTTTAGTTTTGGGGAGATTCTCTTAGGGGTTTTACAACAGCTGCCTAAATCAATTGGCCTCATTTCTCAGTAGGAAGTACCATAACTGGAATCCAGTAAATCATACAATTTGCCACAAATGAATGCTTTATTCTCAACATTCTAGGCAATGGCAAGATTATTTAATGTTGAAAACTTAAGAATAACTTAAAGGCTATTCGACTTTGACCACTTATAAGATTATGATTGTCAGGTTTAAATATGTTGTTTTTAAAGAACTCTTATCAGAAACTCTGTTAGTGGTTAGAATGCTAACAGTCAATTGCTAGCAGCGATTCTCTTCATAATGGCCATTTCACATTCCTTTGAAAATCTCATTAACTGATGTCTTTGGAGAAATTTAATGGTTTTTGTCCTTTCATTATAAAAAAAATTTCAAGTAAGTATCTTAATTCAAAAAAAAAAACTGTGCTGTAATTCATGCCACTGTCAATAAACTGTCAAAATTATTCTCTAATTATGCACCCTGAACATGACTTTGATTCATTATTATCTGAGAAAACAGCAAAAGAAATAAAAGATATGAAACCACAGTGGAAACTTTTATTTTATTCTGATTATAGTATGAGTTTTTGAATGAACCTCTTTATGTCTGGCCATACCTATTAATTTGTGAAGAGCACTTGTTACCCTCCCTCCAGCTTTTCAATGAATTATTCTACATAGTCATATTTATCAATTTATCATTATTCAAAAGCACAAAATACCATTTCAAAAGTATTAGATTTTATTTTTATGTCAAACTCACTAGTTATTTTGTTCTCTGTTATGTTTGACTTTTTCCTTTTATTTCTTATCAGTGCATCTAAAAAGTAAAGTGCCTTTCACACGGCCTTTGGGGAGTAACTGCTTGAGGTGAGAATAAATTGATAGTGTGGTAACAGGATATGGTGATCGCTGTCCCAGGAGATAACTTATGCAGAATGATGGAGGCCTGCCCATCACCGTACATGGAATACTGATAGTCTTGACTTGAATACGAAAGCATTTATGTCTTGCACCTGCTCCAGAATATGACTAGCTGTCATGTATTCCAACAAAGAAACGAAAAGCTGTCACCATGATTTAAGAAATATGCATAAGTGTAAGAAAAAGGGAAACATTTTGAGCAGTTAGGATTTATTTTTATTGCTCTATTATGCTTACCAGTCTCTTTCGGCTTTGCTTGGTGTTTGAATGTTTTCTGTTGAGCTCATCAGTATGACTTCATCATTGCAGAAGGCCACTGAATTATTAAAGAGTGCCTGCACTTACGCTGCAGGACAAAAGGCTGGTGCATTGATGATTCCTGAATTTTCAGTGACATATAGCAAAATAAAGCGTCCAGATGGGGCATAAGTGTAATTTTACGCTTATTTCACAAGACACAAAATTTAAAGTTGATAAAGTTAAAATTGAACCTTAAATTTTTTGCAACCTAAAATTATTATAAATTTATATTGAGATTATAAAACAAAAGACCTTTAAAGTGATCAGACTCCTGACATGTGACTTCTCGTTGTGCCTTTTCATGCTTTAGAAATCCTGAAATATAACCACCTTTTCACAACATTTTCTTTACTGAAAATTGATGTTTTCTGTGTTAGGAAACCTGTCAAATCTCTCTATATTTTCCCAGCAAGTGCTTCTTCCCATAGCATTTTACATGCTAATTTTTATCTGCCCCGTCTTTTAATTTGAGTTTTCCTCTTAAAATGTGCAAGAGACCTTAAGACTGTAAACGCCCAAGTACATACACTGAGCATCTGCACATCCAAAACACAGCTATGTAGCTTAACCTGACTCACCATTTAACAAACATTTTAACAGGAAGTATCCAAGTAATGTTCTTCCCTGAGAGCATTCACTATTGGGAATTCTCCACTTATTTCATTGCTACTGCTCTTTGAAATGTCTTCGGCTGGCTCCCTTTGGAATGTCCTTAGCAACCTGAGGGACATTCACAGTCTATAACTGTTCCACAGTGTGAGTCATCAATCCACCTGCATGGCTGAGAAACAAGGGTGAAGGGTTTGTTTCTGAAGGGTGTGGAAAGGCATTCAGAACCATAAAACACGAACAGGTAAACTGGTTGTTTCAGATAATCCTTTTTTAGTTGAGTTGGGCTACGCCACGTGTTGTGAGAGGAAAATTGGAAAGGTAAGGAGGAAATGGAAGAGAGCTCTATGACAGCAACCGGCAGTGAGAAATCCGAAATGGCCTCAGCGATTGTGGGAAATGGGAGGATTTTACAGTGGCTTAAGAAATACAGTTATGAGGGGCAGTTCCTGTGCTTTGATAGCCTCCCTGAGGACAGGCTGGCCCTGTGTCAGCTCAGCCACATTCCTGGCCAGCAAGAGACAGTAAACTTCTAGCAGACATCCATTGGAGGAGGGGTGAGTTTGCTCCTGGCCCGAGGGCTTCGGCTAGGAGGAATTCAGACTTTCCCCGCCCCCCT